AGATAGATAGATAGATAGATTGGGATAGATAGATAGATAGATAGATAGATAGATAGATAGATAGATAGATGATAGACAGAGATAGTGATTGGGATAGATAGATAGATAGATAGATAGATAGATAGATAGATAGATAGATAGATAGACAGAGATAGTGATTGGGATAGATAGATAGATAGATAGATAGATAGATAGATAGATAGATAGATGATAGATAGATAGATAGATAGATAGATAGATAGATGATAGGATGGAGAGAGAGAGAGAGAGATGAATCAGAGATGATAAAGGGAGTGGATACAGACAGATGAGATGAGAAAGAGAGAGAATGACAGATGAGTGAGAGAGAGGGATGGAGAGATTGATAGATATGAGAGATGATAAAGAGAGTAGATACAGACAGATGAGATGGGGAGAGAGAGAGAGAGATGAGAATCGGAGATAATAAAGAGAGTAGATACAGACAGATGAGGTGAGAAAGAGAGAGAGAATGACATGAGAGAAAGAGGGATGGAGAGATAGAGAGATATGACAGATGATAGAGAGTAGATACAGATGAGAAATGAGAGGGAGAGAGAATGGCGAGAGAGAGGAGGGGATAGAGAGGGGGGGATGGAGAGAGAGAGATAGGATGGATGGATGGATGGATGGATAGAGAGATGAGAGTCAGATGATAAAGAGAGTAGATACAAACAGATGAGAAGTGAGAGACAGAGAATGACAAAGATGAGTGAGAGAGGGATAGAGAGAGAGAGTAGACAGAGATAGATGAGAAGTGAGAGATAGAGAGAATGGCAAAGATGAGAGAGAGGGAGGAGGGAGGGAGAAGAGAGAGAGAGACCCAGACTTTTTCAGGCCCTATTAACTGTGGTGGGGTCCTTGGTGGGTTGTTTCCTTGCAGGCATTTCATAACCCAAATTGGCAACATCATCAGTGCTGGAATGAAGTGGGGTGTGCAAGGAGGAGGAGGAGGACTGTGGGGTCCTTGGTGCTCTCTGAATTTGGTTGTTTTCTTGCAGACGTTTCATGACCCAACTAGGTAACATCATCAATGCTAAAAGGGAGTGGGGTTTAGAGGGAGGAGGACTCTGAGCTTTCTGAGCTGGCTTGTTTTCTCGCAGACCTCTCATAACTCAACTAGGTAACATCATCAGTGCTGGGACCGAACGCAATTCACCTCAGAGGGCACCAAGAACCCCCACAATTCAACCTGGAACTCCAAATATTCTCTTCTATTGCTACATCCACATAATCATTTACTCCCTTCTCCAAGGGCCCAATCCACGATCCCTCAAAATCCTCAACAAGCAGGAATTCCCGAGGCGAGACTAACCAAGTTACGCCTTTCCTGCAAATGCCAACTGCCGCTTTTCTGAGCCCAGGCCGAGTTCAAACCACGATGAAGGTGAGGACGATGCTAGTCAACGGCAACGGGAAAAGAAATTTAAGAAGAAGAAGGCGTGTCTTTTTTTTTTCCCCAACTAACTATGTTTTATTAAAAGGCAGAAGTTTTGGCGAGCTGTGGCTCACTTTTTTTTTCAGAGGCACCAAGCGGCTACTCCACGGGGATTGCTTTTGATGCTCAAGCACCGAGTCCTTGTTACAACAACCCTGCAGGTAGGCCTCTGCTCCAGCTGGGGTTAGGTTGACGGAAACACCCAGAAAAGATAACCATGGTTTGCAAAAACAGACGCATAAGACATCTACAGAAAGGCACAATAAAAGCTTCGCTCATCCGTTTCAAGTTTGTGGCAGAGAGCTCAGCAGTGGGCCCTTTCCTGCCTCCTGTCCGGCTTGAGCAGGGGGTTGGACTAGAAGACCTCCGAGGTCCCTTCCGACTATACTGGCATTGCCTTGTTCGCGGCGTTTTCCACATCGGCCGAGCTAACAAAGGACTACTTGGTGGCCCAGTACTCCGCTCGGAAGCTGACGTTGGCCAGGGCTCGGTTGAATTCGATCTCGGCTCGGCTGCCGACGGATTCCCAGTAGAAAAGACGGTTGCCATGGAAGACGGTAGTCCTCAAGGATTCGATGTCTCGAATCTGGAATAGGGAAATGGTGATCGCGCTCAGCCTGCCTCCATCAGTGGCTATTTTGGAAGTCCATCATCTATTCATCCATCCTCATTCTATCTATCTCTCTTTTTCCATCCATTCATTCATCTATCCTCACCCTATCTCTTTCTCCATCCATCCATCCTCCCTCTATCTCTTTCTCCATCCATCCATCCATCCATCCTCACCCTATTTCTTTCTCCATCCATCCATCCATCCATCCATCCATCCATCTATCCATCTTTCTCCATCCATCCATTCATCTATCCTCACCCTATCTCTCCATCCATCCATCCATCCATCCATCCATCCATCCTCACCCTTTCTTTCTTCATCCATCCATCCTCTCTCTCCATCCATCCATCCATCCTCACCCTATTTTTCTCTCCATCCATCCATCCAGCCATCCATCCATCCATCCATCCATCCATCCATCCATCCATCATCCTCTTTCTCCATCCATCCACATCCTATCTCTATCCATCCATCCATCCATCCATCTACCCACTCTCTCTTTCTTCATCCGTCCATCCATCCTCACCCTCTCTCTCTCTCCCTCCCTCCATCATCTTTCTATCATCTATCTATGTGTAGTTTTCCAAGAAAAGATTGGACAACCCTTTGTCTGAGACGTTACAAAGTCTGCTGCCTTGAGCAGGGGGTTGGACTAGAAGACCTCCCAGGTCCCTCCCATTCCCTCTCCTTCTATGTTCCAACGTGAGGGGTCCGTGCCCGAATTCACACCTTACCGAAATGTAGCTGGAGTGTGTTTCGTTGGCCGTTGTTTGGAACTCCACATACATGGCATGAATGGCAATGCGCAGATGGGGTGCCACATCGATAAATATCCTGCAAGCCATTTGTCGTTCCCCATCCAGCGATGGTCCTGGGTTCAGGATCAGCCCCTGGGGACCAAACAGCTGCCTGTCACAGGCTACAGAGAGGGGGGGGGGGAAACACAGAACACAGAATAACAGAGTTTTGAAGGGACCTTGGAGGTCTTCTAGTCCAACCTCCCTCCTGTGACAATTAAATCAATGTCTGCTTTTGATTTCACGACCAGCAGGGATCGCTTTCCTTTCTGCTGCAGCGAAGGACATAGAATACGAAACAGAAGACAGAATGACAGAGTCGGGAGGGATCTGGGAGGTCTTCTAGTCCAGTGTTTCCCAACCTTGGCAACTTGAAGATGTCCGGACTTCAACTTCCAGAATTCCACAGCCAGCATTTGCTGGCTGGGGAATTCTGGGAGTTGAAGTCCAGACATCTTCAGATTGCCAAGGTTGGGAAACACTGTTCTAGTCCAACCCCCAGTTCAAGCAGGAAATCCTATGGGAGGGATCTTGGAGTCTTAGTGGACAACCAGCTAAATATGAGCTACCAGTGTGTGGTGGCAGCCAAAAAAGCCAACACAATCCTAAGTTGCATGAACAGAGGGATAAAAAGCCGAGGTGGCGCAGTGGTTAGGGTGCAGTACTGAAGGCCACTACAGCTGACTGTTATCTGCAGTTCAGCGGTTCTAATCTCACCGGCTCA